TTCCTTCGGAAAATGTCTCCACCTGATTTCCACCTCCTTTGAGCTTCGTGCTTGATTGGGGGAGGGGTTATTTCGGGATTTTGTTTTTTTTTTTTTCAAACAAGAAATTTAGGTACTAATTGTAAACACCCCGTTGCTCTTCTTGAAAGTATGTATCACATTAGCCCAGGCCTTGGAGACACACGACCTATTACTCATTTCTAGCCTCTAGGCAAAGAATTCTATGGAGATCCACCAGTAAAACCAGATTTCTTACGGGAAATTACCAGGATGTCTTCAGACTCTCTTCCAGGGACGACATTACTAGTTGTCGATTTCACTTGAGCACACTCTTCTCTAGCCCACCCCTACCATTTTATTTTGGGATCATCCTAAGGTAATTAGCCATTTGCAGAAAGCTTGAACTCCCTAAAGGAAAGGCACAACCTAGGATAACAGAGACCGAGTGAAGCTTTTCAGATTGATTGTCTCCACTAGGGCCGTATTTTCATAAGGTCGGGAGTGGAGAGGAGTGTCTGCAGAAGGCGGACTACCTTTAAAGGGGCTTTCTCGAACTCAGGAGGTGAGTGGGGCTTCCTAGAGTTGTCACCACCTGCAGGTGGATTTGTCATCGCTCTGCAGTGTCTCCTGGGAAGCCAGCCTGTCCTCCCCAGAGTCCCCCTCAGGTAGTGTCCTAGAGTTCAGGGGAGCCTTTAGCGCTTTCTGCCCTGAGGGTATTGCATGTACAAAAGCTCCTTCGTGCGCGCGCACACATAGTCATCCAGTGGGTTTGGAGTGTACCCCTGTTTATTTGTCACCACGTGGTAAACCCCAGATTTGGAAGTCATCACAATGCGGGAGCGCATCAAGATCCAGGGGAGACTGTGTGGGGTTGGGACTGCGCACAAACACAGGGGAATTCTGCACAACAAACATTTGCGCGAGCGCTCTCCCTCGCTCCTCCCGCTTAGCTGGATTTTTGTAAGGGGGTTTCTTTTAAATTGGATTATCCGAATGGTCGCCTACATGGCCTTACTCTGCCTGCATAGACTGGCCGGGTGAAGACGAGTGAAAGGACGCACCGAGAGCCTGAGACAGAAAATAGAGAACTTCTTCAGAGCAGCGTAGGAAAAGTGGGTGCTGGGCGAAACGGAAGGCAAAGAGAGAGGATAGAAGAAGAATCTACGAGAACGAGAATGGAACAGCAGCATTGCAGACGCACCTTCAGGTTCACCTGCGTAAGGCACGCCCAGGGCGGAGGAGTGGAGGGACTGGCGGAAGATCAGGAGACGGCGGAGGACCCAGGGGCCGCCAACCCTGACCCCTCCGCAAAGTGCCTCCCTGAGAGAAGAGACTGGCCAGGTCGGGGAGGGAGGGGTGGGGGAGGCGATGATCACGCAGGCTCTGGCAGGATCTGCACGGAATAGAGGGATCTGGAAGGGAGAGAGGGTCTTGGAGGACAACCCAGCCTCCAGTCCCAGCGATCCCTCCCTCTGGGGCTGGAGCCACATTAGAAAGAAGAGTGTCTGAAATTAGGGCCAGCCTCTCCCCGCTCCTCCCCGCGAATTTAACCCCTGCAGACCCACGGTGGAAAGCAGATTTTGTGCACCCTGAAACTTAAGTCGTAGGGGCTAATTTAGGAAAAAATAAATCATAATCCTGATAGGACTTTAGAAGGGGGGTCGGTACAAGTGTGGGACTCTTTCTTCCCGGAAAATGGAATCTGCCCCTGGTAGACCCTTCCGAAGACCTCAGGATCTTGTTCACAGCTCCAGTGGTGAGGCGAGTGCCTGGGGGCATCAATAAGCCCTCCTCAGATCATCGCCCTTACCCTCCTTCTCAAACAGCCGCCCAAATTTGGGCTGGTTGGAGAAGGGGCTGGCGGGACAAAGGCGCCAACTGCTTTACCCCAGACCAAGGCTTCCCTGTGCTTCCAGAGCTCGGATTGCTGTGCTTCCTTTTCGGGGACTAGGTTTTCTCCCATAAACTTAGACTTGAGTAGGTCGAGCGGTTGATTAATATGGATTGGAACTCGGCTGCTCAAGGCCGCGTGAATAAACATGAGCGCGCAGCAGCTGCGCTCACCACTCCCTGAACCTCTCTGGGGCGCCGGGAGCCGGAACTGCGAGGCGGCTCGTTCGAGATGCGGGCGGGACTGTGGGTCCGCCTAAACCAGCGCGGTCTCCGTGAGCCCCCCGACCCGCGCACACACACCCTAACCTGGGTGCCCGAGCGTACCTCAGGCTGCACGGATCTGCGCGCACTCACTCTCCGGGGTCTTTGGACACCATTTCTTTGCTTTCTAGAAGCTGCCTCCACTCTAGGATAGAGATTCAGATTTTGGGAACCTGGGGTGCGGGAGGCTGGGGGTGGGGGAGATTCTCCCCATTCTCCAAGTGCTGGGTTAGGGTTACCCAACTTGAATCACTGCGCGAAACAAAGGCGACCCTAAATGTGTCCACGGATGCGCGGGGTGGAGATCCTGGCCCCCCAGCGGGAAAGAATGTGTTGAGCCACGGATTCCGGGGAGTGGCACACCGCGCCCACAGAAGCGTTTGTTTTCTGAAGTCTGCGGGCCTAAAGGCTGCTGTGGGGATCATCACCTTCCCACTACACGTCCAAAGACTTCACCGTCTCCCGCTTGGAAAAGTAGCCCTTGCGACTTGTGTCCCTGAAGCCACCGTGTCTTCGTCTTTGGAACCTACGAGAAGCGACAAAGCTAAGTGTACAAAGCTAAGTGTACGTGTAGGCCTCGGCAGCTTCACCACCCGCTCCTGCCCCGCCCCTGCCCATGGCCTGCAGGTCTCTGTCTCTCCGCTCTCATATGCACACACTGAGTGACCGGTCTGGGCCGGGGCGCAATTGGGTGCCCACCAACCGCAGCGCAGCTCAGAGTCTCAGCGAGGAGGTAAAGGCTTGGCGGGATGAGACTTCCGTGGGCCTTAAGGCCTCCCTCAAGCCTGCAGACTCCTGCTCTGCAAAACCAACAAGGCCCCACGTCCCACCCTGGGCTGCCACCTCTGCCCACACCACGAGTCTAAGTAGTCGGCTTCTTAGCATCCCCAGGACTGAGCGCTCCAGGCGGTGCCGGGAGCGAAGCAGCGCTGGGGAGGTGGGAAGCGCTTCGCAAAAGACACGCATCGTGCCAGTCATTAGGTTGGTGGGATAAGCTCCCATCCCGGGCGAAAGCGCTACTTGGAGCTTGCCGCCCCTCCCTGGTCCCTAGCATTTGTCCGAGTTCACCCAAAGGCGACCCTTGAGATAAGGAGTGGGGTTTGTCTGCTCAGGTGCTGGGGAGGAGACCAAGCCCGGGACCCAACCCAGATCCCAAGGCCCAAGGCTTTTCTTAAAAACTGTTCCCTGGAAAATCGTGTGGGCTTGGGACATCTATTGACCCACGGGCCCCAGCCCAGGTCCTGGGCTGCCTTCCCACATCCAGATCACATTTATTGGACATAAAGTCTGCCCTAGTCTGTGGCTGGGAGCTTTTCTCTTTGCAGGAAGAACAGAGGTTGACAATTCTAGAACCGCAGGGCAAGCCTCGGAGGAGGTTTGGGTCTACTGGTGAAGGAGAAGACAAAGACCGTTCTGCTGGGAAAATGCTGTCTCATAAGAAGGTCAGTAGTGGGCTACAAGACATTTGGCGTCCTGTACTGAAAGATGGAGGTGCAGAGCTAAACAAAGCCCATCTGGGAGAAATTTTATCTATACAATACCAAGATAGACAACCTAAGTCATTTGGGGATGCCAATAAGCCCCTAATAGCTGCTTTTCCTAAGTTCCTAATTTTGTGCCAGATGAGTCTCTCCCACGCACCAGGCCAGGAGGCATCCTTCTCCTTGTATTTTGTGTGAATGGCGCCCCCTAGATGCCTCTTTCCCAGGTTTATCTGTAATCTCCCAAACTAGTATTTCCAGTGTATAGATAAGGAGGCGCTTTCCCAAGGTCACACATCAAGTAACTAGTAGAACTTCCAGACGTCTACCTGCCCCCAGAGCCTAACCCCTTTAACCTTGCTACCCTTTACTATAGATGAAAGGAAATACCCTTCCACAATTTTAGTCACGTAATAAGTTCCCTGACATCTTTGCAAATCAAAACACAAGCTTATTGATAATGTGCTGTTTCTGGAATGCCCCTCCAGGCTGAAAATCCACCCTATCATGACTGCAGACAGACAGGTTGGGGGACACGGTGAGTAGAGGGAAAAAAAACTTTGTCTCACTTTTCTGTCTTAGCAAAACAAACCATCAACAAGTCTTTTTCTCTTGAACCACAAGTGTTCGAAGTCAAGGCTTCTGGTTTAACGTGACTTTCAAAAAGTGAGTGAAAGCCAGGCAGGAAAACCCAGCGGTGAGCAGATTCCCCAGACCATGCCTCACCTTTTCTTCTCTCCCCATCTCTCCTCATTTTCCTTCTCCTAGTTGTAGTTCCCTGTGGGCCTTCTGGCATTTTTCTTAGTCCAGGGAAGTGAAAGTGCTGCTAAACCCTGGTGTAATACCTTCAATGCTTCCTCGTTAAGTATTTGAGGGTGGAGAGCTGTGTTTCGCTGGATTTAGAATCCTTCTACCTATGTCGCAGGGTACAGTAGAGCAACAAAGGACAGTGAGCCCTGGTTACTAATGCTGTCTCCTGCCATTTTCCAAGGTACCTGGTGCCAATGAGCAAATATCTTCACTTCCACCCACACAGCTGCTCACCTACTAGGCTCTGTGTACCCATAGACGCTGCCTTCTCTCCTGTGCTGCTGAGGAACAATCCTTGCTCCCAGGAAGGGCCAGCCTCTCCACTGCACACTAGATCTCATTCCTTCTTTGTTAGGCAGCCTCTAAGATGACTTCAATCCCCACCTCCTGGTATTCATGCCTTTGTGTAAACTCCTCCACTTGAGTGTAAGCTGGACTTGCTGCTAACAAATTGAATATGACCAAGTGATTTCCCTTCTCAGATGGTGACTTCTGCTCCCACCCCCCTCTCTCTCTCCCCCAAACCCTGTCTGTCTCTTTCTCAGCTCTTGTTCT